CTGCCTGTCGCAAGCTCGTTCTGTGTTTTCGAGGCTGATGCGGCTGCTGGCTGGAGGGCGGTTATTATCCCGGACGCTGAGGAGGAAAAGAACATTGAGGACAGCGCTCGGAAGGGCATTCAGCGGAGGTGGATTCTGGCCGATCCTGATGGATATGAGGAAGGACTGGGTCAAGAACGAGTCTGCATTGTGGTTGATAAGGAGCAAGGTGGGAAGGGCAAGACGGTTATCCAGAATATGGAGAAGAATGGAGGATGGGCTGTGGATGGGAAGGAGCTCAAGGCGCTGGTTGACATTTCCGCGCAGAGATGGGAGCAATTGAAGCACATCCTTGAGCAGTGTTGATTGTTTAGAAAGCGACTAATACTACATGCGATGATACCATATGTCAATCATGATCTGACTCTAGTCCTGCGTAGAGTGAACCTGGTGACTATGCTAATATACAGCGACAGATTTGTATATTCAATAGTGAGACGATTTTTCAGGCGAATAATGCAAGATCTAAATTAACAATGCCGGTGAGGGACTGGGCAACTGGAGCAGGCCGAACTGCCCATTATTCATGGGAACATCGGATGCCAAGACTGGATCTCGACCTCCGCCGCGCCAGAAAGCTCAACCGCAACTCTTCACTGCGGTTTCTTGACAAGTACCAGTAAACAACCTGACACCTGTTTGTTATACTCAAGATGGCGACTGATGTGGCTTTTGACACGAGCATGGTATGGATAACCAGAACGACTGCGTCAGCATACCCCGCTAACCTGCCCAGGGCTCGTTCACAGTAGAGCTCTACAATGCGCATGCGCCCAAGGTCAGTACCAAGATTCTAAGCTCACCCCATCCTCTTATGGTACATTTTACTGACACCATTGTTACCGACTAGACGTGTAAGAACTTCGCGACGCTTGCGCAACGAGGCTACTATAACAATGTCATCTTCCACCGCATTATCCCCAACTTCATGGTACAAACCGGCGATCCTACCGGCACTGGCAGAGGAGGAAGCTCCATCTACGGCGAGAAATTCGAGGACGAGATTAATCCTAATCTCAAGCATACCGGTGCTGGAATCCTGAGCATGGCAAACAGCGGGCCCAACACCAACGGCAGTCAGTTCTTCATTACGCTGGCCCCGACGCCGTGGTTGGATGGAAAGCACACCATTTTCGGCCGCGTCAAGAGCGGCATGAGGGTGATCCAGCGCATGGGACTGGTCAAGACAAACTCGGAAGACCGGCCTATGGATGAGGTGAAGATTCTCCGTGCCAGAGTCGTGGAGGAGACGGGGGATGAGTGAGGGGTCTTATAGCAGATGGTTATGGGCACTCATCCGCAAAAGCTATACAGCATCCCAGCAACAGCGGTCTTCAGACATGATACGGGCTGTTGGCATCGATGGCAGACGTTGGGACCGTAACTCAGCACTGCACTCTTCCGAGAGCAATGCAGAGCACGAGCAGCTGCGCGTTCATTACATAGCAGAGCCACGTCCGTCGACACACTACAGTCGCCTCGGGTTGACGTCTGCAGCGCAACGGCAGCTTCAAATAGAAACAGATTACAGATTAGAAATAGGAATGTTTCACTACAAAACGAACCGCTTCCATCAGATGTTACCATCCGGAGCAGCAGATACAGAGTGAAATGTCTATCTACCACTCCTATAGCACAAGACCAGTGAAGGCTTGTACGAAGACGACGAAACTGCTACAAACAAGCAGTCTGCCTGTGCAGAGCACTAGGAGTGGTGTGAAGAAGGAAAGAAGCTCTGGTTGTGGGCGAAATCCTCCTTAAGCGGCTCCCGTTTGTCGAGTCTAGCTTCTTTCGGAATAGTCCCATTTATTGTAGCCTCAGGCAACTACAACAACGAACGGTAAATATAGTTTTGAAGAGCTGCAATAGCATAGATATGGTGTTAATATCAGGTCAACTAAGCTACAAAATAAAGTTCAGCTATTGAGTTTACTATTTTGTTTTCTGTCTGTGAGAAGGAGGCCCAACGCTCATACTACAGCCAACTGCGTTGATATCAGTAGCCACCGGGTCTCCATCAACACTGGTAACTCCCTCGTGCTGCATGAAAAAGGAAGTTATGACATGTAGAGCAAATGGTGACTAGGTCTACGTTTATTTAGCATGTAAGTGTTCAATGTCTGTTGCTTCCTCACCTTACTAGGTCTTCAATAACGGTTTAGCTAAGTACTTAGTCACGTGGTGGGCCAGTGCGGGTCCCGTATTTCTTCGCGTGTCCCTCGATTTTCTTTTCGTTTCTGAAATTCTTTCTCGTCTTCAGCGCATGATCTTCAGTCCTCACCTATGGGCTGAAGATACTTGCTACAAACGTCTCTAGGAGCTTGTGACCAAATGTGATGCTCGCTGAGCTTGCTCATCAGACATCGATATAGCACTAAGCCCCTCCATTTAGCTTGCTTGCAGTTCGGCCGTCATCACTATGGAATCCCTCGCGGACACGCCATGGGACGTGACGATCTCTGGCACTGGATTGGCCCAGTCACTTCTAGCTCTGTGAGCTACCTTCAGTCAATGCTGTATTTGCTTACAGCTAACGTCTCTTGCCAGGGCCCTTTCCAGGTCAGGTAAGAACGTTCTCCATGTTGACAGAAATCCATACTACGGTGGTCCTGAGGCAGCTTTTAGCCTTCAGGAAGCCGAGGAGTGGGCTGCTAAAGTGAACGAGGGTAGGAGCTCCCCAGTCTAAGCGACCGCATGGCCCCTGCTGACTCGTGTTGGTGAGCTAGACACCGGGGAGCTCCCATTTGAACATGCTAGCGTCTGCTCCGAAAGCTCCGGGGATTCCACGGGTCAACTTGCGTCCTCTCGTGCATATACCCTCTCCTTGTCGCCGCAATTGATCTACTCCCGATCACAACTTTTGCCTACCTTGGTTTCCTCCAAGGTCTACCGGCAATTGGAGTTCCAAGCTGTGGGAAGCTGGTGGATCTACAAACCGGAGGCTGACGATAGCAGTCGTCTCTATCGTGTCCCTGGCAGTCGGGAGGATGTCTTTGCGGACGATGTGATCAGTATGAAGTCGAAGAGAACTCTGATGAGGTTTCTTCGTCATCTTGGTCAGGCTCAGGAGAGTGGGGATGTGTCGGAAGGACCGGATCCGTCCTCGGATGAGGAGGGTCTTACTGCACCCTTCTCTGAGTATCTAGCCACGAAGTTTCAGGTGCCCACTGAGCTTCACGGTCCCCTACTCTCGCTTTGCCTATCACAGGCTGCTCCTAACCAAACATCGGCCAAATATGCCCTCCCACGCATCAAGAGACACTTGTCATCTATTGGTGTTTTTGGTCCCGGCTTTGGGGCTCTCTCGGTCAAATGGGGCGGTGGCTCTGAGATCTCTCAGGTCGGTTGTCGCGCTCTTGCCGTGGGAGGTGGTGTGTATGTCCTGAATACTGGCGTCAAGTGTATCGGACCTTCACCAGAGCAGGAACCCGATGACCAGTCGCGCATACAGATTCAATTGGCCAATGATGAATCGGTCAAGTCCCGGTACATTGTTGGCTCGAATTGGGATCTTCCTGCCGCATCTCGCCCTTCTCTGGAGTGCGACAAAGTGGCTCGATCCATCTCCATCGTCTCATCTCCCCTTGCGAACCTTTTCCCCGTTACTGCAGAGGGTGGACCAATCCCTGTTGGAGCGGTGGTGGTATTCCCGGGAAGCTCTGTTGGCGGTGCTGATGATGCACCACCGGTGTACACTCTAGTCCACTCCAGCGAGACGGGCGAGTGCCCTATTGGACAATGTAAGCTACCACTTTTTCTTCTTCATCTTTTCCCCTTCCCCCTGCTCATATGATGACTTTCCTTTAAAAACTTATCTACATTGCCTGATACATCATTGATGCAAACTTCTACGAACTGATCATGAGCTTTCACTCTTTTTCAATTTGCAAGTTACATTGTCTTGTGACATGTTGCTAACTGTTTATCAGGCGTTGTGTATAGTAGTGTCAGCATACCCGGTTCAGAAGGACAGTCAATGATTGAAGCTGCTGTGCAAAAGCTTCTCCAGTCAGCTGCCGATCCGAACACGAAAGTCCTGTGGTCCCTGCGTTATACGCAGCTGGGCGGAGGCGCCTCCCACAACGCTGATTTAAGCTGTCCGTCTAAGAGCGTCATATGCCTCCCACCTGTCAGCCTAGACCTTGCTTTTGATGACTCCTTGATCGACACGGTCAAGAAAGCATGGGAGCTGATCATGGGGGAGGAGGCTGCTCAGCACGAATTCATGAAGTTCGAGGACCGGGAGGGTGCCTATGAGGAATGATGTGGGTTGCAGAGCAACCCGCATGTAAATATGCTGTAGTAATGATTTAGATAAGACCATTCACAAATAATTTATTACCAAGGCCACTACCGTGTCATGTGTATTCCCTTGTAGTAACCTTGAAAGATTGCTGTATCCCTATCCTATCCATGTGATCATGCACTCCGCTTTCTGCAACACCTTGCCGTGTGTAACTTTCTACATTTGCAACCATACAGCCCGTGTTTACACAAGCGGACCGTTGGGTTTCAACCTCTGTCGTACAGCCCACCACCTTTCATACCCTCCGAGCCAATGCAACGCAGATTGGCCCGGGAGCTCAGCACTCTAATTGATTCTTCCCGCTTTCGGTTTCAAATTAACCGCTGTTATTAAGACGGTCTTTTTCGCCTTTCGCTTTCTCCGGTCATCAGCATGTCATGCATAGAAGTATCAGGAACATGAAAGGGTCACAGACCTCCTGTGAGTTACATGTGAATAAAGATAAAACATATACGAGTGAATTTGTTATTGTCCTACCAGAGATGAGGTCGTTCATATCCAACCTATTAGAATGACAGCTAGTAGATGTAAGACACGCCATAGATGGCTAGACTAGGCTACATCCTCAGCCTTGCAGCATAGGTGTCTGTCAGCTAGTATCTCCCAATTATACCTTTCCCACTACATCACCGGCACTATGGTTACTTCCATTACTCTATTTCTTCGCTTCCCTGTCGACCCAACTATCCAGCCCATTGTCAATGACGCATTAGATAAACATAGCATTTCTCTTAAGAAAAGAAAAAACAGTCGCGATTGCGCATGAACTTAGTGGAGGATTTCTTAGTGTCCAGGACAGCATATCATAAGCTTCCCGGCCGCTTGGGGCTCCAACTACTCAAAGATCATCATGATGCTTAGTACTGGTGTCGGTGATATACTGGCGTGTGCAAGACTTGCTTATAAGCTCTACCAGGAGCTGTCTGAAACAAATGGCTTCTTTAGAGAGTACCGGACTATATCTTCACGGCTTCTTACTGTCCATAAAGCCCTACTTCAGGTGGAACAACTCAGGGCGTCTAATCAGTTGACTCAATCGACCTTGAATGCCATCCGCTTCTTGGCGAGCAAGATGAGCGAGGCCATCAATGGCTTTGTAAACAGATTAGAAGGTATTCGTGCATCTCAAGCTGGATGGTCTGGATTGGCACTGAAGGATATCTTCTCACCGGGTAAACCATCATCAGAGATGACAGATGAGGTTTGTTTATCTAATATATGCTGTTGACATTCACTGACTATATCTATGATGATATCGGCTCAGAGATTATCTAGCATCCTCCATTCTAATCTGTTGTCTTTGAGTAGCCTCTTACGAATGGCTTGCTACTCCAAGTATGTTGTGTCTATACCCGAGGGGAGAGGTGCCTAATATTCCCCTAGTTCTGATGATGATGCTTGGAAAAGTGCAAGTGTCACTCCAAGATGGATCGATGAAAGGACTGAATTCCCGGGTGTCAGACTCAGCGCAATGATCACGGGAAGGGATACATGTTGTGCAAGACCTAGTAAGTACTGGTACAATCTGCAATGTGTACCAACTAATGTATCTCCCAGAATTCGAAAAGGTCCCCAAACCAATTGACTTCTTCCGACCTGGGCGGGTGTTTACCGTGGCTATGCGAGGTTTATCGACAGCCACAGGAGATGAAGACATCGAGTGCACACCTCTTCCCTCAAAATGGACTCCACTGGACTCCAATCCAGACCCGTGTGAACGAGAGAAAGAACGACTTACTCGACAAAAGAAGAATTACGAGGATATCATAAAGCTTCCTTTGAAAGCAATGTTTCGATATGGCGAATTCCAAGAGGATGGACAAATTCAATGTCATTTGTGCACTGGTGACATTCGATTTCCAAAGAACTTCTGGCTTGACAGACACTTCAGATTATATCATCATGAGACGTTTGAAAATCTGCACGATGTACTATCGAGTCTTGACGAAAGGAAAGGTTATATATATCTAGATGAGATGAGCACTGATCGCCCTGTTCTATCCGCGTCAGAAGTTGAAGAAATGACGGATAACGAATATAACCTTCCCACCTGGAATATGGACCCCTGGGTAGGAGTCATCACCATCCGCCGATTCGTGGTCGTCCAGCAGGGTACTAAATCCTGCCTTTGTCTGGGAATACATACGTGAGATCCTCTCGCCTCAAGAATTCCCAGTTCCATCACATCAGGTTATTGACAAATATCAATACAGTTACTCAGGAAGAGGATGTTCCAACCAACCTGATCAGGAGCTATATGCTATCCTCCACTTGTCGAAGTACATCCCCGACCCATTGCCAGAAGAAGCAAGAATGACCAGTCAACCTATTCGCCTTAAAATTGAGCAGCCATCAACAGTACTGCCCCGCAGCGCTCGCATTTACTTCGGCCGCGTCTATGAAATCAAACATGATGTGGAATTGAATAATGTTGGTTTGGTCCTTGGCTCGTCCATGAATATACTGTCGTCGCAATTCGAATCCCATCGTCCGATAGATACTCCGAACTATCTGGCTTCATCGCCGGACAAGGATCAAGCAGGTACTGCTGCAGATGACAGTCATACAGACTGATGTCAAGACTGACAAATGAGCTGTGACCGCATTGGATCGGTCTGTAGTAACGACTAGTCCATTGGGTATTATTGTCAGGTGTCATCTAAGTGGAAACACAATCACATCGTCTCTTCAAATAAAAGACTACTATGTCGTGCGTGTAGATTAGCCACTTTATTCGGCAGGACTGTTATTATGTTCTTGGCCCCCCACGCAAGGGGGATTATTTAACCGTTGATGGTGAGAACCAGCTGTGCCAGTTCATCATTACCGTTGGTGTACAACCATGAGGTCTGTCTGACCATGTCAGCAAGCCCCCTGCAGTGATGGTACTGTCAGCAATGCTTTGAACAGACCCTGAGAACATGTTTCATAATAATACTCTTATAAGTATACATATGGCATTTATATTGCACACTCACACTCACAGTCTCTCTCTCCTCTCTCTATCTTTATCATTGCAGCTTCAGTGCTTCTCAACGAAGTTACTAGCGATAAAGATACAACGGTATGAGCAGATGTACCTTTCTGTAGGAGTTAAGTATGCACTACTAGCACTATACTCTATTAGTACTGACCCCTCATCCTTGAATCAGTGCCTTCTCAATCGAGAATATTCTCGATAAAGTCTACATTGTGACATCAAAAAGACAAATTGCATCATTGGGTACTTATGAGCGACTACGTATCACTCTTTCCTAGGTGTAGAGCATACGAAAATATGCATAGTCCCTAGATTATATACCCTCAAAGTACTTAATAATAATAACAACAGTATCTTTAAGTATTCGAATATACACACTTCCAACTAATAATTGAAGTGACAGCCCGATTCGACCATCTACCTACCACGTCGGGTAATATATCACCAACCAACATCTACATAAAACACACAATCATCATCTGATCTGCTCCGACAGATCTACATTAAAATATACATGATCATACAACAGAGTACAATGAAAAATCCAATCTACATCTCACAAATTCAGTAGATCAAATATACACTCTGTTTCAGATCACATAAACTACCCATCAATCCTCCAAAGCTTATTATAATATAACAGTAACAAGACCACACAAGTCAATTAATCCAGATCTACGGAGTACACCGCAAATAACAAAGCCTAGTAAATCAGTCTGAGACATTTACCTTACTTGCCCACTATCTATCTATCTACCCGTTTTGAGACAACATAATAATTCTGTTACCCACAATTCATTTCTCGAAATCTTGCATCTGAAACGCTCTATCGGCGGGCTAAGATCCTATAGTCCACGGGTAGATTAACGGACTAGATACAAAGTAGACTAATCGGTGTTCACTTTAATATCGCTTAATTTCCGGGTTCCCTACTCCTTTTAGATAGTCCTTATCTGCAGGTTAAATTGGCAAGTTGGATGATAGTAGAGGAGAAAACTTTTTTTTTTCTTTGTTGTGATATGATGCTAATGCAGAGGCGTTGGAAGGCTCTCTCTCTGTCTGGTTTGGAGAAGAGAATGTCGAATATTGAGACGCGTGTACATTCATATATTCATTAGTATTATGTATGTATACTCATTATGGCGGAATATGGCATCATTACTTACTATCTACTATGATAACTATACCATGGTTCTGGCCAGAGTGGTCTTCTTCCTCCTTTCCAAGCTTTTATTATTCTCGCTTTCGGGCTTTGATTACTACTTTGGTGGCCGATTGCATGCTCGCGGCAATTGGCCTATCAGGATAACGGGTGACCGTTGGTGGTGGACTTGCAGTAAAAACTATTATCGACTAACCAGGTGTCCGTATGAGTAGTATGAAAACGCTGGCAAACTATGCAGGTGGTTTTTTTCGAATTGAGTCGGTCTGTTCCATGACGGGCTAATGTTTTTTTGCCCAGGGTTCCCGGATACGCAGAAGGCATAGCGTGACTCCATCTAAGGAACTTGCTGGATGCCGTTCCGTACTCTACCTCATTCAGGTGGCTTGGGAAGAACCGGGCGTCGGAAAAGAGCGACATGGACCCTGAACGGAGGACCCTCCTCTCTTCCAATTGATGTCATTGTTCGTTTTCCTTTGGACATTGGATCCATAACTACGGAGTGCTATCGTCCCTTTGCGGTAAGAGAAGGACGGCAGTCGAACCTGAACGGGTGCACATCCTTCCCTAAACAGCGACGGAGGCCCATAATGGTGTGCTTGGCATCTCGGCTCTGGGTGAACAACACTGGACCGAATGGCGATGGCTGGATGATGATCAGGGGGAGGGAAGTGCTTGCATTGGAGTTTAGACCGCCCATCTGGGATGGCAATTACGATTTGGGCTGGGCAGTGAAAGACTGACGAATGGTTTGCAGTAAACCAGTAGGAAATCCTGGGGAGAGCTGAACTCAATGCCACAGGACAGCTGGATGTATCATGCATCTCATGCACAGAGATTGTTGACAGAGTGTCAGGGTCCATCAAATGGGTGTGTAGGTGACAGCTGCCAAGGCTGGCGTTCAAGCTTAATCGTCCGGCAATGTTTTTTAGCGAAGTTGGTCATGCTTGCGAAACGACCACAATGTCGATCCCTCACTCCTTCCTTTCCTGCCGTGCGCACGGTAGGAAGAAACGTTTGTGTGAAATAAATTATATCTACGGAGTTGACTGACTACTCAGGTGTTCACGATGGCGCCAGCCCGGTCAATCCAGGATGGATGAGGGGGGGCGGCGACACGATTGCTGATGGATGCCTGCGATTGGGTCGGATGATGTCGCAAACATTTTACTTTTCAGCGCCCACTTGCAGTTTGACTGGGGTTTACCCCTCCGCGGGTACGCAGCTTGAACAATCCATCAATAACAAGCTGCCGAGTGACGAGGGGAGAAAGTATCAGGTACGACGTACGCGCGTCCGGGCGGGCTGTTCAAGGCGGAGGTAACTTATGAGATTGCAAAATTTCCACTGAAACGTGGGTGGTTGGACCAGCTGACGGGAAGTAACAGAACCACTTTCAACCAGAGGAACCACCAGGTACAGGCCGAGAGTCTGGAGGCAATCCGCTCAGCCCATGTCCACTCATGAGGCTCAACCACACGGCCACACTTTGCCACTCTCCAAAAACTCGTGGAGCGGTTATTCAGTTGGTGGTGGCACTATACATAGAACAAAAATCAGAGGATGTTGGTCCCAAGAGTTGGATGGGATTCGTCTGTTAATCCCCAGTACGTGGCAATGGAAAGGCAGCTGAAAAACAAGACCAACAGGATCACGGAAGACTCCGCTGTCCGGATCTGAGGGTTTCTATCCGACACTAAGTAGATGCGTCGAGGTAAACCCTGCCGACCGGTGGATGTGTTAAGGCAAGCCCAGCCCAGCAGTAGAGTAGTATACTGTTAGTCTATCGGCCTAGTGCTGAAGAGCGAAGGTACCTTGTTGTGGTCAGTCTTCCACTACCAATCTGAATGGTCCGCACGCTGGTGGCCATGACGAGCCTAGTTTCACTTCCGCGGACACCACTGGACTGAATCAGGGTATGAGCTGATACTATACCCGATACACCGTGACTACGGGGGAAGAGGCAGAGCGAGAGTCAAGAATAGGAGAATGGATGGTTGGATGGAGAAGGGGGAGGGAAGGACACGCGGCCCGTGGGGCCACCGGCCCAGCGAGCCCCTAAAGGGTCTTTCCTCACTGGCTGAAACAGCGGGCAACCGCGCAGATCGAAGTTTCCATCTTTTTTAGCTGCACCAACCAGCCGGTTGGTTACTCTGTAAGGCGTTCTGACATTCGACAGGGTATTACACCCTGTTTGTGAAGTTGGAATATGAATGAATGGACGGATTAATGTCTCAGGCGCCGGACATGGATATGAATGCGCATGCGGATCTGAAGGTGTGAAAATGGGTGTGGTGGACGCATTCGCTGTCTGCATTAATTCTTTGTGCTATCAGTGTGTCCGGAAAGAAGAAAGAGCGGGATGATAAGAATAGCAGTCCGCCCGAGGTGGTCCACCCGCTGGAACATTCCGAGAATGTATGGAGGATTGATGCTGGAGTCCAGAAGCAGCCAGAGACCAGCTGTCATTTTATCCGTACCACCACAAACATCATGGAAAAGAATAAGAAAGGGAAAAGACATACAGTCTTTCGTATTACCAAGAGGGTTCGGTTTAAGATAGACGAGCAACGGTGATCACTCTCTTGAACATTCCATCATGAAGGCTACCAGGTCTCTCTAGTAACCAACCTAGTAGAACGGGATTGCCTCAAAATGGTCGACGCAAGCCTAGAAGTATAACATTTACAAATACCAAGAGGGACAGTAAGGCAGAAAAGCCGGAGAATAATGAGCCTGAATAGGATTTCCGGTGATGTTCTATTTCTGTAGACCATGTTGATTTCTCCGGGAGGCGCTTGATTGATCAGTTGACTCTGCTGTAGGGACTTCTGCGCATCCATGTGGTACTTGGAGGATCTGGGCGGAGATACGCATCCACGCATGTACTGTACATCGAAGAGGGGAGGGAGGGGGAAAACAAAGCCTGGGGAAATGCATTGACTTCTTGAGATCTGTCAACTAATATGATTCGATGTATCGGGGCATTCCCTGGATCTACTACTGTCACAGAATGATATCCTGAGACGCGGAGGCATCATGCTATGCCATTGACGATGAATTGTTTCGTGGAGGTCGAGATGGAGACGAAGACGACGACGACGACTGTCAACGCGTCGAGGAATGAACGGCCGCCGTTTCCGTATCACAAGTTCGCAAGGGTCCGAAATCCGAGATTGAAAATTACCCGCCACCGGCCGGGTGGAGCAGTGAAGATCCGCCCATCGACATTCTTCCTTCAGTCAGGGATCGGCATCAAAAAATAGGTGGGTGGTGGGCAGTGCCGTATTCAGGAAACTCACACAAATCTCGTCCAGAGGCAGGAACAGCTATGATTCTTGAAGCGCAAAGAAAGAGCGTAAGAGGTGGCAGGAAAGGTGTGTGTGTAAACAAAGCAGGATACTGTAAAGAAAAGAGAAAGAACAAAAAAGAGAGAATACAAAAGATTGAAATGGAAAGGAACAGTAAATAACTTGGCATACAGCGGGAGGCGTCAACAGGCCGAGCATAAGAACACTAAGCATCATCGTGGTGTAAATTCTGTAAATTCCTCGTTAGGAAGTCGAAGACAGTGAGTGAGCATTATTATGATTATTATTTTTTTTATTTCAAGATAAAAATAATCATCTATCGCCCTCCTCGATCCGGACCAGCTAGTGTTTTTTTCACCTCACTTGATGCTCTCTCTCTTGCTTTCTCTTTTACCTTCCTCTCGTTCTCTCTGCCGTGCAACACTTGGCTGCTGCTTGTCTTAGAAAAAGGAAAAGGAAGCAAAATAACTTCTCTGCAACTTGAACAGACCCCTTCCGTCGTTTAATCTGCCCAGCAAGAAACCAACAGCAAGAATCAGCCAGGCCAGAGACGGGCTGAGCTTAATATTTGCAGATTAAATTACCCAGTGGAGGAGCTTTGGCCCCAGCCCAACCCGTGGTCCAGTATTCGGCATTCCCACTTGGGATCGCTCCCAGTCGCCTGTCTCTCCTGTCTTCCGCCCTCATCTTCTTCCTCTACTTCTCGAACTCTTCTCCCCCCCTCCGTATCCTTCTTCCCCTTTTCCCTTTCCTCTCGCGACATCCTCAACCCCTCGACACTCAGCGCTCGTCTCCCCCCTCTTGTTCTCTCTTCTTTGAGCCCTCGACGCACCGTTTGGTCGCGATTTCGTCGGCCTGTTCTCTTTGGGGTTTTTTCCATTCTCCTCGCTACTACTTGTTTCCTGCGGCTTTCTGCCCCCCATAATTTCTTCCGGGGCTTCTCACCCCTTTCCGTGACCGTGTCGCAGGTCTCGACGCTGCCAGCCTTTCGTTGACAGTCTACCAGGCAATAGAAAAATCTTTCCTGCTCAGGATCAGTTTTCTATCAGCCAATTCCACTCTTTACACCATATTTCCATACGTGACGACTTGCGAAAACGGTTTCAGAGACGACAACCATTCGTTTCCGGTTGACGTGCTTTTGAGACGAGAGAAAAATAAATTTTAATAAACTCGTCACCGACTTCTACAATCTCACATGTTCAAGAATACTCATAATAATACCGCCAAAATGCCGATGTTCCGTATGAAGACGGTTTTCCCTCTGATCGCCCTTTTCTCGATTGGGTTCTTTTTCTGGTGCGTCGAGCGCTTCGACCAGGCTGCCCTTCTGCGTTTTAAGCATCCAGCCGATCGCGTCGCTGGTTCAACCCCGCAAATCCAGTTGCAACCGACACCCCCATCGAAGGCCTGCGACGTGGACCCTGGTCTTCAGGCTCCTCTGCCCTTCAGCGAATGGCTTCCTCGCAAGAACTACACCCGTGCCTACTTCCGTCCTCACCATGTGAGCCCCAAGACCGAGTTCAACTCGCTCGAGGATATCGAAGTCCCAGTGCTCCCTCCGATGACCGTTATGGAGCGTGGTATGGTCGTGTCGCCCGAGAACGAGGAGCCCCTGCCTTGCCCTCCGATCATCGACGTCAACGTTGCTGCTGATAACGATGTGGACGAGACCGATAAGCTTTTGTTCGGTCTGGCTACCACTGCTGACCGTCTGGACCGTCTGCTTCCTTCCCTGCTGTACTCCTACGGAAACACCAAGGCTGGCTTGATTGTGCTTGTTCCGGAATCGGACGACGACATTCCCAAGCAGGAGGCCTACTTCCGCAACCGTGGCTTGGATTTGACCCTGATCCAGTCTCCTTTGGACTTCACTGCTCGTTACTTCGGCCTGGTCCAGGCATTCGCTGAGACCATCCGGACCAAGCGCCCTCAGACTCAGTGGGTCAGCTTCATCGATGATGACACTTTCTTCCTGTCCTTGCCGACCATCGCTGAGGAGCTTAAGCTCTTCGATGTGAACAAGAAGCATTACATTGGTGCCCTGTCTGAGGCTAGCTGGCAGGTGGATACTTTCGGCCACATTGCTTTCGGTGGTGCTGGTGTTTTCGTTTCCAAGCCTCTCCTCGATGTTCTGGAGGAATACTACGATGAGTGCCAGTCGTGGGGTGAGCAGCCTGGTGACCAGAAGCTCGGCCAGTGCATCCAGAGATACGGAGAGACCCCTCTTACCCTCTGGCCCTCACTGTACCAGATGGACATGAAGGGTGAGGTTGACGGTGTCTACGAGTCTGGCCGCAAGATCGAGTCTCTGCACCACTGGAACAGCTGGTACACCAAGGATGTTGTTAAGATGACCACTGTGGCTGCCGCTGCCGGTCGCCGCTCGGTTCTGCGCCGCTGGGTTTTTGACCAGGAAGAGATCGTCAACAACGCTACTGGTCGCTCCACTCGTACTTTCTGGGTGTTCACCAACGGATACTCGCTCGTCAAGTACACTTACGATGAGAACACACCCGATGATGCGATCAACTTTGACCACACTGAGAAGACCTGGGAGGAGGACCCCCGTGGTTACGAGGCCCGCCTGGGACCCCTCCGCAACCGGGATCAGGAAGGTGTCACAAAGGATCGTTGGTTGTTGCGTGATGCCTTCGTGGTTGGCGACAATGTGCACCAGTGGTATGTGCGTGAAGAAGACGAAGGCCACAGTGTGATTGAGATCGTTTGGCTCGGCCCCAAGGGTGGTGGCGGTGCCGGCGTCCGGGACTTTGGACTCCGGAGGCAACATCACTAAAGTCCTTGGTCATTCAACTCAATGAGAGACCAGACGACCGATACTGAGGCTGGCCCTTGGGATCTGTGAAGCTTTTCGATTCTTGCACATTCTTCATTCCATTCCTTTACACTTTTCCAATTCCTTTTCTTCCTTCTATTCTTCTAAACTTGATCTTACTCTATATTTTCCTACGACACCACAACACTAAAGAAACAATCATGCCAATCTACACGGCGACAAGGAAAACAAGAAAAGTGAAGGTGGTGCGGGAATGTATCTCTTTCAGTCACCGAGTCCTTCGGCCTCCCTGTTTTTGATCGATCATTTGCCTGGCGTTGTATTGGCGGAGTCAAGAATGGCGCAGTCCAAGATCGGAACTGGTGGTTTTCAGCGAAGAGCATACCTCGTTTGAGTCTCCCTTGGTTGACCTGGCTACGAGCTCGTGGGATGGAATAACTCATATTCCCACCCGGGGCCCATTGCTCACGACCCGACATATCCCATTCCCTTATTTCTCCCAATCTCTTTTTTTGCTGGCTTCCTGTCGAGGGCTGCTTTCTTGCATCAACTTTTTTGTAAAAATAGAATTTTGCCGGCCGCGCCGCGGTCGCTTGCTTGCTTTTGGAGATTAGCGCATTCGTCGTTATGGCAGAATATCACGAGTTCAAAGTCTTAGATCAGGGGGAAGATTATCTGTTAGTTATTAGCAATAGACACACGCACGCATGCTGCGGAATAATATGACTGGATTCACTGGAGAATGTGTTCGTAATGGGTGGTTCGATCGATTGCGTAGGTCAGTTTGATGCTTGTTTCATGTAGAGTCAGTCAGTTAATCACCACCAGTCAGGCAGGCAGACAGACAGCTTTGTACTCGGCAGTAGCACACTGCCAAGGAGTAGCAATAATAACCTTCTTCGGCAAAAGTACGAGCCCACCAGACAGAAAACCAGACAGAGAGACAAACAAACAATCATCCATGATGATCGTACATACATGCATACGACCTTGTGTAGCATGATAGCATCCCATCGTACTGTCTAGGCTAAGCCAAGTACTACCTACGTACGTAGGTTTTCCAAAAGCATGTTTTCTACGCAGCGGTTCTTTTTCTAATTTGTAGTAAACTTATATAAACCCCCAATCGGATCATTCCCTACTGACTCGCTCGCTCACTCTCTCGCTCATTGTGTGGCTGGCTGGCTGGCTGGCTGGATGGATGGGATAGATGGGATAGATGAGATAGATGAGATGGACATATGATGGGGGTGTTAGTGTTGGTGGTGTAGGTGATGATAGTAGATAGGTATAATTGGCGACTGATCCAGCTGTGTAGGTGGGTGGTCGTGAAAGAGAGGCACGGGGCAGTGGGTGTATAGTAGTACGTAAATGTAGAAATATGATGGAATTGGAAGTAGGATAGATATATTGAGTTTCGGCGAAGAGCACATATGGACATAGATAATAATAATAATAATAATGACATGGGAAAAAAAAGATTTTCAGCAGCTAAGTTAATCAATGACTCAATGCGAGACATAAAACGTCAGCATCAGCAAGATGATTAGAAATACAAAGAGCTCTCATACACATCGAATAATAGCATTGTGTGTGTGTGTGTGTGTGTCTTGTATTCCTCATTGTTATCACTATGAGGTTACATCCATCCATCCATCCATCCATCCATCCATCCATCCATCCATCCATCCATCCACACATCACATCCATCACGCTTCTACCCAATCGAGTTCGAAAGATGCTAAATCCTCGCAGGGCTGAGAATGAACACACACCACCTTACCCTGTAAGGGACAGTTTCTGACGTCGGTCTCTTAGTTAATGATTCAGGGAGTTTGAAGTTACATCTGGGCGGCCTGAAACTTAATCCGGTTGAGTTGACTTTTTATTACTGGTAGGCCTATCATGTAGGATATTTGGAAGTTTGCTGGAGAAGGATGATGATGGTGGTGATGGATATTAGGTTTCGGGGGCCATGTGATGGGAAGGTAAAGCTACTTTAACCGGTTTCGGGGACTGTTTGGAGTTGGAGAATCAGGGTGTAGATTGCTGTTTCATAGGTCATGTTACTTTTGAGGTATTTCGTCGAGTGATTGTGTGTGTATGATGCTTAGGAGTAGATCAGTGGTAGGTAGGGGATGAAGAAAAAGTCATATGTGGGTGAGATTTATGTAGATCATGACGATGGATGGGGTAATTTTTTCATCTTCTCTTGCTTGCATGACCTGTATGTAGCAGGGAAGGTTATCTGGGATGGATGGTGCTAAGGTTCGACTTAGTACCCTGGAGTAGTAGGATTTGATAACGTGCTGAGAGCTGAAAATGCTAAGCTTTGATCGCTTAGAGTTCAGCATGGTCCTTTCTCTCGCTCTGGGCGAGAGCATAATATCCAAGAGGATAATGACACGAGGGATAAAAGCCTCGTGGCGAACTTAGGGTGTGTAAAAAGGTAATGAAGAAAATGAAGCAAAAGAGATGATATGAAACAGGTCGGAGTGATGACTGATCAGTGATTGATATAAATTGATGCAGCCGGTGCAGAAGATTATCAGTTACCGGGCGGGTCTCTATTGGTTTTGGAGGGGAATAATTGGGGTTGTCCTTGCTGATGGGGGGATGCCAATGATGGGGGAAGGAAATCCTAGCTGAATTGAACAGTTGTATTTATTAGTTCTAGTCACCTGTTTGCCATCTTACTATATATAGTTAAGAATTTCCAGGGTTGGGCATGTCTGTGCTGAAGGATGAGGCTGTTAAGAGTTTCTGGTCTTAGCAGTGACAGTGTGGAAAGTAAACGCCGAAACCCTATGAGTTAGATTAGGTTGTCAGCGTTGAATTCAAGAGAGGAAACTCTCTTCGTGTGTAAGTGAAAACGTACGTGACGAATTACTGAGTTTGGATCGAGTCGAGTCTTTTCTTCAGGCGCCACCGGGTTTGCTGAGGGATGCATCCGTCCGTGAGTTAGTACTTTATGGCGGGAAGGATGATGGTGAACACTAGTTACATGCATACGAGATGGTTGGATGGATGGATGGATCAATCAATCAATCAAGCAATCAGTCAAATCAATGAATTGATTCAATAGTACGCGCATAGTTATGCTTACTCGCTGCCCTGAAAGTACGGAAAGGTACAGTAAGTGAGAGAGAGAGAGAGAGAGAGAGAGACACCATCTACTGAATGCACTACGCGTCTCTCCCCTTGGCCAGTTCTCACTAAAAAGTTAAGTAGATAGACTAAAGAATAGCTTCGATACTACCAAATACGCCCCAGCTGCTGTTTGGCTTGGGGGCCAGTTACTACCGTAGTAGTAGACCGGCAGGGCACACGGGATGGACATGGAATGTTCGCCGCCACTCACTCTGCCCACATCCTAGTTAGTTCAGTGAGTACATCATCCAACAACCATGACCCGGTTTGATCTGGTCCGAGTAAGATTATTGATCGATTTTAGGGGAAGGCGAATCACTTGTGTTCATTAAAGACTTTGTGGGAGAGACAAGACCAGTAGAGTCAGTCGTTCACAAACCACCTTGATGAATGAATGGTGAATGACTGCGTGATGGAGGGTCAACTAAGCTTTTCCCCATTTGCTCTTGAAGGAAACGGAAAGTGACCCTTTGAGGGGGGAGGGGGGGTTGCCGTAATATTACGCGGTATGGGTGGGGAATGTGAGTTGGCCGCCGTATCGAATCCCCAATGCCTCACTGCGGCTAGGCCAATAGTGGCTCGGGCCAAGCCTGAGTCTTTCCCCACCGTCGGGTCTGGACAAAGGTTGTATTGTGACGGAAAGATTGGTTGACCAGGGTGAGGAGTAAAGTGAGAGGGAAAGTGAGCAGAGAGTGAGAGTAGGATAATATTGAATGAGGTAAAATATGTCAGTCATAAAGAAAGGAGAAATACATACCCTACCCCCATATGAAGCAATATCAAAAGTACAGGAAACGGCAGAAAAGAAGCTGGAAAAGGAGGTATGCTGAGAACTTGGTGAGGAAAAAGCTTAAAAGAGGGAAACCAAAATAATACCACACGGGGTGTAAGGTATGGTAACAACCACGTGACAGACCGCCTGCCTGGTCTGCAGCGGCACTTTGCCTTCTTCGAACTCCTCCTCCCCGTTTCTCTTTCCTTCTCGTCCTGAACCCAAACCCTGCGAAGCAAACGCGTTACTCGATTTGGTCATTCTCCCTCCCCCTCAAAAGCATCATTCCTCTTTGGGCATTCGTCTTCACGTCCCCCAGACTTCTTCCTTTCCTCTCTTATACCATTCTCGTCATTCACACTTCTCTTTTTTCTCCATTCTAATCTCCCCCTAGTCTCGTCATGGCCGACATCACTGCCGTCGGTGAGGAGAACCCTTCTCCTACTCAGGACGACCTGCAGCAGGCCGCCGGTAACGGCGCCGCTGACAACCGCGGCACCAAGCGCTCTCGCATGAGCGCCGACGACGACGACGATGATGATGACAAGCCCGGTCGCGAGCGCAGAAAGATTGAGATCAAATTCATTCAGGATAAGTCGCGTCGCCACATCACCTTCTCCAAGCGGAAGGCGGGTATCATGAAGAAGGTGCGTGCTGTCGCGTCTCTACAGCCTCATCTCTCCCCTTCGTTATCGCCGTCAATTCTGTCGCCAACTCCAGTCCTTTCTTGATGCGTCTTTTCTCCTCGTTGTCAAGCTTGTTTTACACGTTCTTTGCCTGGAACTATTGCCGTTGGACCGGTGCTGACGCCTCAATGCGGTCGCAAAACAGGCCTACGAACTCTCTGTTCTCACAGGTACTCAAGTACTCCTGCTGGTCGTTTCCGAGACCGGTCTCGTCTATACTTTCACCACTCCGAAGCTTCAACCGCTGGTGACCAAGGCTGAGGGCAAGAACCTCATTCAGGTGAGTCCTGTGCCACTACTTTCTCTCGTTTACTTGAGGTCGAACTTAACGCGACTGACTCTCTGTTTCTCTGTCAGGCCTGTCTGAATGCACCTGACCCCACTACCAACGAGAATGGCGTTGATGCACCCGAGGTGCCGGCTGAGACGCCAGAGGATGTTAGCCACAGCAATGTCAACCCCCAACAGTCGAATATCCCCCGTCCCGCCGGTATGCACCCCGGCTACATGACGAACGAACAACAGCAGCAGATGGCCTACTACCAGGGCCTTCAGCAGCAACAGCAGGCAGGAGGACAGTATCCTGGCATGCCTGTGGGTAACCGGATGCCCCCCCAGCACCAGCCCACGGCGTAAGCGGTGGCTATGTGTCTTCATGCCCCGCGTTTTCAAGCACCTGAGGGGCCCAGGCAGTTGTTCGCATCCTTGTCAACTCCAGCGCGTGCAGCTTTCTCCTCTACGGCCTTCCTTTGATACCCAACGATTTGTTTCCAGACATAATTCATACTATTAAAACCGGTCTACAGTGTTGTACCGCCGCGCAACGCAGAACGAAGAACCGAGATATTACCTTATAGTAATCTGTGTATAGCCTGACTCGTTGGTATTGCAGTTTACATACACACCTGAGTCGGTAGCCTCGGTGTTCGCAAGATGCCTCGTGCTATTTGTCATGTTTCACCGAAGACCCTCCCTATAAAAGCCAAAAATAGCCAATGGAAAAAAAGGGAAGAACAAAAAAAACAAGAAAAAAGAAAAAGGAAAATGAAGGCCAGGCTGCGCGACTGAATCTTGAAGGATGCAAGAGACTTTGATCTGGGCTCCCCAGGCTATTAATTGTTTTTCTTCGTTCCTCACATCTCCTAATCCTTTTCCTAGACGACGGTGAAAGTGGCGGTGTTTCTGGTGCTTTTACCCTACTCTTTTTTTGTTTCCTTTCTTTCTCTATTCTTACTGGCGAAGTGGTTATCTGTTTTGTCTTTCATAAATTGTTGTTTTCGTCTTGCGTTGACTAATTGACCTCCCTTGATTTCCACATGTGATTTATGCCCCCTTGCGCCAGGCTCGTCACTTGCGCTTTTCCCTCCCCCTTCGACAATGATCCTTGGCTTGCGGGCAAGTTTGAATGACGGCTCCGGAAGCAAGAAGGGGGAGAGGGGGGCGGGAGTCACGAGATAAGTTGGACGCAGAAATGGGGGGGTGTTATTTGATTGAGTAACTTGATATGATGTTGGATGGATAACCTTCATCGGGTAAGAAGTATGTCATGTATGGTAGGGAGAAAACCGGAACTATTATTATTTGTCCTTCTGCTGCTCTTCCTATGACCAGTTCTCTCAATAGATAACTACATACCATACCAGTAGTCAGCAGCAAGTCGTAGATCATCACTCTCTGCCCCTCACCCACTGCACCTTATCTATGGGTACATATATGCACATCGTCATCTACCAACCCAGTACTAGGGTAGATGGTATAAAAGCAGAGCCACCATCCCCTAACTATCTATCTAACTTTAACCAGTAAAAACACCTTGATAGAACCAAGCTGATAGTAGATAGTAGAATCTCCAGAAGACATAAAGTGAGTGAAATGAACTGATGAAATGGAAGATGGAATGATACAAATGGAAGTATGAATATAGTACTATGCCAGCTCATCTCATCCTGTAGGCAGATCTCGTGACCTCGTATATGTTTATCCCCCCCTCCTCTCTCCCTATCTATCTACCCACCTATCTATACTATCTATCTGGGTATCCCGTGACATGGCGATCCGGTTCTGTATGATGTAAGGACTAGGTATGAGGAAAATTAGTTTTGGGAAGAAGAAGGAATGTTGATTTAGGTTTGTAGTTTTGTATGTAGTTTGTATTGTATTTCTTATTTGGGAACAGGCCTTAAAAGGTTTCGTTCAATTTCTAGGTAGCTTAATATGAAGTGAAGTGAATAAGGAGCCATGCTATGTAATAAGGTAAAAGGGAATAGGATGGTTGGTGTATGTGTATAATAGTAGATAGATAATGTTGGTATGGAAGTTATTGTACATTGATTGAAAGGAATCAAGAAGAGGGTTAGGTTATCATTGATGTGTATTTATGGTGTGGGTCTAGTGGATATAATCAAAAGAGTCTGGGGTAAAATTGGATTGTGGGATGGAAATGGCGGTGCAAAAAGAGACGGAATGTAAATCTAATTTTCATTCTGTACGTCCGTCGGGACTGGCTTCGAGGTCGGGGCCCGGACTGGATGAGCTTTGTCGTCTTCCTCGATTGCTTCCGGTCCATTGGGTGAGGTATTGAAGACCGCTTCTCCAGGCTCCGCGGAGGGTGCTCCTCGGACCTGCGAGGAGATTCGAGTACCCGGTTGGTAATTCCGCGTCGGTGAGGGATTCGCGGCGCCGATGCCCTGATACTAGGTTGTCTGAGCGGTCGTCCTGGGTGCCGTAGCCGGTTGTGTAGGATTGGGGCTTCGAAAGGAGTCCGCGGTTCTCTGGAGCAGGTGCTGATGTTCGTCGTTGCCTGCTGCGATGCCCCTGATGTGCGGCTTGGGAGGATCTGCGCGGGTTCCAGGTATTTTGGTTGACTGAAAGGGTGCTGGAGCGGCGAGGTCCACGCAGGAAACTGCTTCTCATCCTGCTTCTTGATTGGGCCGATGGTGGATCTCCAAATGTGCGACTGCGCCTGGAGGAACGCATCATGGCTGCGGCATAGTCAAAGTCAGAGTCGTCCAACTCTGCCCAGATGGAAGCTGGATCGAGATCTGCCGTGGAGTCCTGTGGACTCAAGGAAGACTGAGGTAGAGGCAGACTGGGTGCTCTCTTGTGAATACTTCGCCGAGGGATTTGAGCACTGCGTAAGAGGGGCTCACGCTCCAAGTCCTCGTGGCCGTCTCTTCCCAGGCTAAGGGGTGAGGTTTCGTGCTCCTCGACAACAGCCATTCCAGGACCCAGGCCAGTCTGGGACGGTCCGACAACAGTCACAGCCGCATGGCTGTCTATGACCTCTAAGCGCCACGACAAGCAAAGGACACCTCCAAGTAAGACAATTGTTCCAAGCGATATCAGCCCAGCATGGAAGCCCGCCAGCTGGGACATTTGTCGGAAGTATATTAATCCATCTATGATGGCGATAATGTTATAGATGCAGAAGACAAATGGGTATAAGACACTGGTGCTGCATAGCTTCAGGCCCCGATGTAGATAAAATAGTTGTGAGAGAGCCAGACCAATCATGGCGAGAAGAATGACCCAAGACTGCCAGCGATCGAATTGATTGACGCGATCCACGACCGTCCGAACAAGGAGCTCCACGGCTGATTTGGCGAGCAGAAGAGAATGCGCCGATAGGATTCCACTGATCATGCCATAGCATAGACCGCGGATCAGTCGAACACGTCCGTGGGAAATTTGCAGGTGCGGCCTATATGCACCGCGGGTGTTGGGGTATTTAGAACGAGATGGAGAAGCTAGGAATTTCAGCAGGCGGGAGCCGAGATAGATGACCAGCACCAATACGGCCGTCCCTGCCATCCAAAGTATAAAGTTTCGACGCTGCAGTAGCTCCAAAAGCTGATCGAGAGTATGCGCTGGCTCCCCGACGGCGCCAAACACCGCTATCAGGAGCGCGCCGATGCAGACCAAGACTGTGCCGATGAGCGAGTATCTGGTGAAGGCTTCACCCAGGATCAGAGTAGCAAAGATGGTATTGAAAACAAGCCCGGACTGGTACAACAGATATTAGCGATGCCCGGGAATTCACTACCTGATCTAGGGAAGTCACTGACTGCTTGAAGGGTTGAAAGCACCGGAAGCGGGAGAGTAGTTATCTGGATGGTGCTGCCGACGATGTTCGCAATGACGAACATCAGCATCCCCAACTACATGGATTCAGCAAAACCGGGTTATAGCGGAAGCACTGTATAGGGAGGAGCATGAGCTGACCTGCCATCTCCGACGTTTATAAGGTGGTCGACGTATATCGTACGGGTGTTTCTCGTCCTCGAGGATATGCGACTTGCGTTGGAGGGTTAGCCCGATGGCCTGGAGACTGGTCGAGATCAACCCGACAACCACCCCAACCTAGAAACGCTTTCCAGTTAGCACAGAAGCTCGATTGCCAATGAGACGAGAACACCGGAGGGGAAGAACAAACCGCGACACTCCCCTGGGGCGATAGGTCACCAAGATTCCCCATCTCGGATATCCTCGTGCATTGGTCGCTGAGCCGGGGGACAAAGACCAGACACGCATTAGACAGGATACGACAGGACTAGTAAGACCGACTCCATTGTCCAAAGACGAGGTAAAAACCAAGAGAGAAAAGAAGAGGAGTAGATCGAACCGAATGGCTGTGGGGAAGAAGCAGCAGCAGTAAGTAAGTAGTAACTAGAGGGGGAAAGCGGGAGAGCAAGTGAGTTCCTGAGCGGCCGCCAAGTTGCGTTGCGAATCGATCAGCAGATCCGCCCAAGTGCAACGTTTCCCTCCGCTGCTTGTTGTTACTGCTGCTTGTTCTCCCTGTATTATCTCCCCCACCCCAGTCACTCACCCTCCCCTCTCTATACATTCCTGCCGGTCCAGGTGAGTAATAATAGTCCCCGACTTGTTCTATTTCTAATAATATACCGGTCGCGATCCATGACCGTTGACTATTTCCACCCCCTTGATCTGGCGCAGTAGCAGGCTGACGTTGATTGACCGCCCCCCCAAAGAAAGGCACCTCCGCATCGGGAAGCTCAACTGACGTTGTCTCTCTTCCATACCCCCCCACCCACATATCGATACCCTTCGCTCTCCCCTCTACATCTTCCCGATCTATACAATTACTCTATCATCACCATGTCGCAAAGTCATGCGTTGTCCGATGACCAGGTATGTCGCCCGATCCTCGACCAGGGACCATGCATGTGCCCGCTCCCGAGCTGAGCTCATAACCGTTATCTCCAACCAGGTTGCGGGCGAGCTCCGCAAGATGACGGCCTTCATCCGGCAGGAAGCGCTGGAGAAGGCCCGTGAAATCCAGCTCAAAGCCGACGAGGAGTTCGCTATCGAGAAGTCCAAGCTCGTCCGTCAGGAGACTGCCGCCATCGACACTCAGTATGAGAAGAAGTTCAAGCAAGCTTCCATGTCCCAGCAGATCACTCGCTCTACTCTCGCCAACCGCACCCGTCTCCGTGTTCTCTCGTCTCGCCAGGAACTGCTTGATGATCTGTTCCAGCAGGCTCGTGATCAGATCTCCGGTATCGCAGCTAAGGATGCGGAGAAGTATGAGGCTGTGCTGAAGGGCTTGGTTCTCGAGGGCTTGTACGCTCTCAATGAAGACAAGGTGTCGATTCGGGCGAGGAAGCAGGATACCGACGCTGTCAAGAAGGCTATTGAAGAGGCCGCGAAGGAATTTAAGGAGACCGTCGGCAAGGAAACGTCCGCGGAGCTGGACGAGGAGGAGCCGCTGCCTGAGGGATCGTGAGTCCCCTTTTTCCTTTCCTCTTTCTTATCTCCCAAGCCTGCACCCTATATGATCTAACCGTGTCAACTATAGTGCTGGTGGTGTCGTCATCATTGGTGGTCAGGGCAAGATCGAGATCAACAACACGTTCGAAGAGCGGCTGCGCCTGCTCGAAATCGACGCCCTCCCCGCCGTCCGCGAGACACTGTTCGGCAAGAACACCAACCGGAGGTTCTATGACTAGACCAATGATATGTGTCTCTTGCCAAGCGAATTTACAATACCTGAACCTGTTTCGTCGTTGCAGCCTGTATCTATGTACTCCGGGTCTTTTTTCAGGAGAGCACCATAGCCTTGTATAAAGTTCTTCAATTCTTCCCATCAGAAATTCAAACAGAGTTCATCCCAGAACGTCGGTTTGCTTTGGATGTTTCGAGCATTTCGCGGAGGAAAGATGGTACTGCATACTCTTAGTTTTTGCCGCAGGAGTAACATAGTAGATTCATGTATATATTGCTGCATAGCACAGAGTTGTTGAAGCCCGAGACTTTGGTGCATGTTTCACTATATCTATGGTATGATGAGCAACCCAACATGGTTCAACTATATCGCGCAACAAATTCCCAACAATGTATCCCAGGACAATAGCGATAGGCTTCACAGGACTAATCAATAAGGTATCCCGAACAAAATAAGAACAAAACAAATGAACAACAATCAAGCCTGACGCCACATATCATCATTTGTCGACTCCAACCCTGAGTCTAGCCATCTACCACCCTCGACCTTTTGTTTTTATCATTGAAAGTTTATAACAAGCACCTGGACCGGCCAGTGTGCACGCTAATGCCAACATCAACGCGTTCGAGTGCATATACCCCGACGAACCATCGTTATAATGAAAGATCAGCGTAGTCCATTCTGCTTGACGAGAGAGCAAACTGTTGAAAGTTAACCACTGAAAGCAGGTGTTGTATCTCGGCGGTGAACGACAAATTAGGATGCTGTATCATGTGGCCGCAATGGCAGCTCATCGCTGCCTTTCGGAGGCTTGAAGAATGATTTGAACACGCCTTTGTTCTCTCTTCGCTCCTCAGGAACCCCGAGGATTGACTTTTTGGGACGTGGCTTTGACCTGACGGAATATACGACTCGATAATGTAGAGCCTCGATGGCTTCCTTAGCCAACGTTCGTTTCAAGTGGGAGGCACCCGAGTCCTCAATGGAAGTGAAAATGATTTTGAGCCGATCAGAAAGAGCATCAACGTCAGCGTTGAACGTCCTCTCCGCTTCTTTATCCGAAAATTCCACTTCATACCGTCCAGAATCGATGGCAATGTTAAAAAGAATGGCGACAGCTCCAAGTTCTCCGTAATCGTATTCATGCTGCCCCTTCCCTTTGTACCACTTCACATCGAACCGCTGTTGATTGAGGATGCTGGTTATACGCTTCATATTGATGAGCTTTTCTGGCGGCTCACCCAGTGGTGAAGCATCATTCAACAAGAAGGACACCGCGAGGCGGCACCGGATGAGTGCGAGCCAGTCTGAGGTTGGAAGTATATGCCTAACCAGGCGACTCTGTGACATCGCATCTTTGACAGTGTCGAAAACAGTAGTGCAAACACGATGCACCTAGATGTGTTAGCGAGGTTTGGAAAACCTGACAGAAACTTGACTATACCATGTCATCGGCTGTATCGTCAGGGGCACTCTCTAGCATGGTGACGATGGTCCTCTCTAGTTCAGAACAGACCAGGAAATTGCTGGTCAATGAGACATCGAGAGTGAGACGAAATAATAGATTCAGTGCGCGCTCTCGAGCATCCTCTGCAAGCCTAATGCAAAAATTAGCATTTGTACGTATAACCAGATATTCCAACACTTACAGGTCTGCAGCCCCACTGAGCAACTCAAGGACAGAGACCAGCATTCCCTCACGTAGGGAGTTGTTCTTCACATTATGTTCTGCATATTGCCGTCAACGGATGCTTGTGCTTAGGCCAACGCGATGACGTACTGTTGATGTGCGCGTCTGGAACAATCGTTTCAGAAGTCGCCAATGCTTGGGAGGTTGCTCCCAACTGTTGAAAAACTTGATCGATGTCGGCCGGTCTTATGAGAGACTTGACCCGCTCAGGGTTCGCATTCTAAGCAAGATCAGCAAACTACGTCACGATTTATCCCGACTTGTCATAGCCACTGACTTTGAAAGCTCTACAAAGCGCTTGCCTGATGCTGTCTTGCGTCTCTGAAGGTACTGAGGGAAGGTAAGCGATGAGAATAGGCGGACAAAATCTCATACGAACCAGCTTTGAAAATCCACGAGATAACCTCGTCCGGCAAATATGACCGCGATAGAGCAAAATCGATAATGCCTGAATGGAGTGCCCGCTCCCTTGAAAGCCTCTCTGTCCAACGAATCAGTAACGAGTCTACTATCAATAGCATGTACCGTACACTGACCTCGTAGTCGGAACATATAACCGTCTTTATCTATGCAGTCTTTGGGAAAGTCAACCGCTGGGGGTAATTCGCTTTTATAGTCAAAAAAGTGCCATGATTTGTCTAGATCAAGAGCCTCTGTCCTTCGAACAGCATCTAGAAGACGTCGTAGCCCCATTTCATCGTCTTGGTCACCCAGAGCCGATGCGAGGGTATCCTCATTTAGCTGTGTGGTCGGTACGAGTGAATTGTGTTTCTCATCATCCTGCTTTCCGTTCTTTCGCAAATCTTCCTTCTCAAGAGCAGCTTTCAACTTTGCAATACCGGCCTCAGTTTCATTATCATCAACTGCTTGAACAACAAGCGAGTCTAGCGTATTGCTGTACTTTGGGACCTTAACTGGAAAGCGAGACCGATTGTCTGACTTTGCGCTGTTCACGCCGCCGTTCCGCAAGGTCATTCCTGATTTAGACGTATTATACTCTCTATCATCCTTGCTTACAAAACCAGGAGGCTTAACAAATCTCGCAAGAAGATCGTCCGGAGACTCGAACGAGCTTAATGAATCTGTATCCTCGCCATCGGAGCTGATAACAACCTCTTTTCCGTTCTTCATAACACGTTGCGATGAATTGAAACTTGTTCCTGGGGATGGATCCTTAGCTGCAGATTCTGTGCTGAGGAAGCTGTGGTGAGGCAGAGCTTCATTCTCGCCATCCTTTATGGATTGGGACAAAGACAGTTCCAGCTGGGCTTCTGGCTCCGCTGATGAAGAAGAGGGGCCATTTGAATGGCGAGATTGCGGGGACGAGTGCGATGGCTGATCGAGATCATTGCCGCGGTCACTGGTCTGAGCGCCTGGGTTCACTGCTGCAAAAGCCGGACGATTAAAGAAACTGGTAATGCGTCGCATGCCGGACACTTTGGTGAAGGGGATATATTATGCTGCAGAGTATGACCCGCATGCTTTGTTCGGTAGATCTCCGCACTTAGCCTCTGTTGGACACGCTGGGCGCGTGCTACAGGGCGCGTGGTCACATGACCATGACTCAGCATTGTCTATTCATTTCCCAAAACGGGTACAGGAAATGGACTGGTATCGACTATTGATTTTGAATACCTGGGCAGTCAGTAGTACTGCTAGTAGTAGTTTAGCCGATTTGCCAAAGACAGTTGTTCTCTGTCACTGCTAATTCGATCTATTTTCCTTCCAGATTGTGATGTACCGCGCCGATTCACCAGTGGTGCGTCAGCTTCTCCATGCGCCATGACCGTTAATGTAGGGGTAGTCCAATACTCCGATGATTATGCGTCCTTGATTTCCATTCCATCGATCCTCGATCCTTTTCTGGTGAACCGAACACTGTATTCTCGCGTGCCCTACATTACTTACCCTTTGCTCTGTGAAAGCCTCCCTGAAAGTCTGCTTGATTGTCGACCTCCTTGTTATTCTTGCTGTTTAGACCCCAAGCTAACTATGTTCACTACCTGCAACTCACTGGGGCCAAAAAGGGTACAGCTCTTTTACTTACAAGGCTCTGCTGACTTCCTAGCCTTCGATAGTTACACGGCTGGCTCAACCTGCCAATAGTCTGTACATCACTACTCACAGTAGACAGAAAAGAATTTTTTTTTTTCTTTCGCAGGATCGTATTTGGGCGCGGTCCAGGGGTGGAAAAGTGGTGCAGATCTATCTCTAAAGTACTTTGTAGTCCCCACACCGGTTCACGGTTGATCTGACCATCTGACGCCAATCTGTCATATCTCTGCTTTGGGGGCTGGGAGATGCCCACCATAGTGAAGTACTCTGTACATGGCAGGGCTTAGATAGTTGGCCTCCTTGTTTACTCAATCAGCCTTTTCCTTTCTCCCGGTTGTGCCATGCGGATGTGGATGCAGCTGCAGGCTGCGGTCGGTCTTGTTTGGAAGCCGCCGGGTTCGAAATTGGCAAAGGGGTAGGTAAAATCGCCTAATGAAACATTTTGCAGGCATATATTTTCGAGATCCGTTTTTTATATAAATGGGAATATATGCTCAAAGCACAGTCATTTGTCGATGGAAATATTGCGGCCCCCCACGGTTACGGGTAGAGACTGTAACGCGAAATCGCAAGTTCGTGAGGTATTTAAAAATTGGGAGAATCATGGTAAATTAGCCGAGCTTTGGGGGTACGTAACGGGACTGCCTACTCAGCCTCCCGCCCAGGGTGGACATCGAGATTTGTTTGTGTTAATGGAATTGGGCGTATAATTTTGGAACATAAAACTGAAAAACACATCTTTCGAATGTCCACAGCAATTGAAAAAAAAAAAAAAAAAATAAAGCGTTTCATGCTCATATGGCCAAACATACCTCCACGCTCATTGTTAGATGATCGGTTATAGGATCTGGCTTACTGAAACAGTCACAGAGTGATCTTCTTCTAGCCCCCATAAACAGTAAAGGTTAGTATGAACTACGCGCAATAGGTATGGGACCGCGCCAAACCGCATCAGGAAGACTGGTCTCCCCACTAACAGAAGCAGCCAAGACTGGAAAAGGAGTAGAATATGCATGAAGCATGACTGGGCAAAAGGGGAACGAGAATGTCAGGTACCCGTGCCTGGGGGAACAATAGACAAGAGTGTATTGGAGACGGATGCTTTTATATCCGGGATCCTGAAGCGCACTGGTGCTAGTAGACCCTGCACAGTCCATGTGCAATTCTACAATGCAAGACTAGGAGGACCGTTGGCTCAATATATGCAGTTAGCACGGATTTCTGTGGTACCTCCGAATCTCCGCGCTCCGTAGGTGGACCTATCCATGGATGCCATCAGCATGTGCCGTCCCGGACGGCTGTTAGCCTGTTTCAGGCTCCGTATCCCGACCCAGACTCCCAAGCACCCCCAAGGTACGGAGTACAGGAGGAAGGGGAAGCCTACCATCTAACGCGACAGCTTCCGTTCCATGAAGGGCCGTTGAGTGGTCCGGCCTGAACATATCTATACGCTGTTGTCTTGCCTATCCATGCATGTTACATCCTGGCGGTCCAATTCCTCCCTTAGGGGAGTAATTAAAAAATGTCTCATTGCTGGGAGGCGGGAGATCAGCTTCAAGTTTAGCAGTGCGACTGGAGGTGCCATTACTTGCCATGACATCCGATTGGTGTGCAAGTGAAGAACTGAAGAGATGAAGAAGGGCAAACCGGAGACACGGTGTCTATAAATAATAGACCAAGACATCGTTCGCGCAGTTTGATGAAATCCGACCAACGGAATTCCGATAATTCCGTCGAAGAGGGGCCTGGGATACAAACAACGTAGTAAGAAGACCATCGTCGAAAGGGCTCCATTCTGATCAGCGTCCTCAAATGTACCCATGCGCAGTCTAGGGCGAGGCTGGTAAACCCGGTCGGAGATTCCACACACCATGAAGTAGGCTGTAGTGGTAATCAGTGCACAGTAGAGAATTTTCAGATGACCATTGAGAAGAACAATCATGATAGGGAAAATTACCATTGTCTTCGGACATCATAATTGGTACACAGGAGATAATAGTGGCGATTGTTGTTGTTGTTGTTGTTGTGCTCGATTGTACTCCGTAGCAGGGGTGAGGCAGGTACCTGACGGGGGCCCGGCGCAGGAATTACAGCATCCATAGGTAAACCCCCCATAGGCCTAGTAATCACTTCATGGATCATATCCAGGAGTTGCTTAGTAGTTTCCATGTAGATGAAACATGAACCCAAAGTCCATCTGATTGGAGACCGACCCATCTGCCCGGTTACAATTGAAAATTTACAAAGTCGGGGAGGGCATGTTTAGTTACCATACGGAGCTGACAAACACTGGAAAGTTACGCCTTTTGGCACTCCCCGTATTGTGCCTGTATTACACAGCCGTCCGTCTGCTCCCCCCGGGGGCCCTCCAGGAGGGATTGTCGGCTGGGCTGGCTCTCCAAGAAACTGACGCTGTCCTTAAGCCTCTTTCTTACTCTTGCCTCTGGAGGACCGGTTCCTTTTTTGCATGAGTTTCTTGGTTTCTTTCTTCTCGTTTGCTTTGCCCTCGACATTCTTTCGTTAATGGCACACGAATGCATAATCCTCAGTAACCCTCGATCTTTTCCCCCTCCGCTCGTTTCACCTTCCTGACTGCCTTGTGTTTGGGCGTCCCTTGGTGTTAATTGACGCTTCATTCCTTCTCCTTCACGTTTGACCTACTTAAGCGCCTACCAGCATAAATTGCGAATCTGCCTACTCACCAGTCCCTGTACATACGGCCTTCGATTTCCTACTGCACTCAAAACAAAACCGGCGACGGAAATAACAAGTCGATCTCGCGAGCTGGCTGCGCTGCCGGAGTCCAGCTCGTCGCTGCGGATGCTATCCTTTCAACGGTTCAATCAGCACATCGCTCATTTTATGCCCTTGATAGGGCTGACAGTAGCCTAAATGGCTTCAATCGACTTGGGCGCAGAGTTCAATGACAGCGGTAACGACATCCGGGAGGTTAGCAGCAACGTTTCAAAACCGACAAAGCGCCAACGATGGGCAACACAACGCAGAGCCGGCGCAGGCGGCACCCGGAAGCGCGTCTCAATAGTGGATCGCTTGCATAAGAAGAATCTAGATGCGAAGGAGGAGATGCCGAAAACAAGTACCGCCAATTCCCCTACGTCGATGAAATCACCTACTTCTCAACAAACAACTACAAGCACGGAAAGCCCTACGGGGTCTAGCAACAGACGCATTTACTTCAATATTCCTATACCGGAAAGTGAAAGGGACGAAGACGGCCGTCCCATGGCAGCGTATCCTAGAAACAAGATCCGGACCGCAAAATATACTGCTTTGTCTTTCGTTCCGAAAAACATTTGGTTCCAGTTCCAGAACATTGCAAATATCTATTTCCTCTTCATCATTATTCTGAGTGTATGACCCTATCCTTGAGATATAGTGCAGAGTACCGGAAAAGCTCATTGAAGGCTCTAGTTTTTCTCGATCTTCGGCGTCTCTGATCCCGCCCTTAACACCGTGCCTCTTATCGTCATTGTTGTGCTTACCTCGATCAAAGATGCCATCGAAGACTTTCGGCGTACAGTTCTGGACAACGAACTGAACAACTCTCCCGTATACCGCTTAATAGACTGGACCAACGTGAATTCGACCGAGGATAATGTCTCTCTCTGGCGCCAGTTCAAAAAAGCGTGTACTAGGGCGACGGTCCAGACCTACAGGGCGATGAAGGGCCTTGTTCAGAAGAACAAGAACTCTCAGCAACAAGTCAAAGACAACCGGCGGTTAACATATATGACGACCGTATCGCCAAGGGCTTCAATGTCTTCCCAGCAAGACGAGGACGACGCTATCCAGATGACTCCCGTTTCCACACCAGCACCAGAGGCACGCCCGGACTGGCCACTTCCAGTTGGCAATCATGACCAATATTTGCACCCCGACAAATTGGCTCGGGATAGCTTGGCTACTCCAACCCCTGCTGCTCATCCACCGAAAGGCGGCAGTATAGTGGATATGTCAAAGCAGACGCTGGGTAATGCTCGTTTCAAGCGTGACTTTTGGAAAAATATCCAAGTTGGAGACTTTGTTCGTTTGTACAATGGGGATCAAATCCCCGCTGATATCGTTCTGCTCTCGACTTCCGACCCGGACGGCGCGTGCTACGTGGAAACGAAGAGTTTGGATGGTGAAACGAACCTGAAGGTCAGGCAAGCTTTAAATTGTGGGCGTCAAGTTCGACATGCTAGAGATTGCGAAAAATGTGAGTTCGTGATTGATAGCGAGGCTCCTCATCCGAACCTGTATGCCTACAATGGTGCTTTGCGCTGGGAACAGCGCGATCCAACCTACTCAGACACCCCTCGAAATGAGATGGTTGAGCCGATAACAATCAACAACGTGCTTCTCCGCGGTTGCTTCCTTCGCAATACAGAATGGGCCCTCGGAGTCGTTATCTTTACCGGAGAAGAAACCAAGGTCATGCTGAACTCTGGTGAAACTCCTTCCAAAAAGCCTCGGCTCGCCAAGGATCTTAATTGGAACGTCATATATAACTTCGTCATTCTATTCATCATGTGCCTTATCTGTGGCATTGGCAACGGGATCGCCTGGGGTGATCCTGATGCATCGCTTGACTACTTCGATTTTGGGTCATACGGAAGTACACCTGCTGTTACCGGTCTCATTACCTTCTGGGTCGCAGTCATCTTATTCCAAAACTTGGTGCCTATTTCGCTATATATTTCACTCGAAATTGTCCGAACCATTCAAGCTGTGTTTATTCACAGTGATGTGTTTATGTATTATGACAAGCTGGGAATGTCATGTGTACCCAAGTCTTGGAATATTTCCGATGACGTTGGTCAAATTGAATACATCTTCTCAGACAAGACTGGAACGCTGACTCAGAATGTCATGGATTTCAAAAAGTGTACCATCAATGGAGTCTCATATGGCGAAGCATTCACGGAAGCGCAGATTGGCATTGTTCGACGAGAAGGAGGCGACGCTGATGCTGTTGCCGCGAGAGCCCGCGAAAAGCTGGCTGCCGACACAGTCATGATGGTTGATATGCTTCGCAAAATGTATGACAACCCTTATATGCGCGAGGAAAACTTGACTTTTATAGCGCCAAGCTACGTCGCGGACTTGGGCGGCCAAGCTGGTGAGGAGCAACGGAAAGCAACAGAGCACTTCATGCTAGCCCTTGCGGTGTGCCATACTGTCATTACTGAGCATACTCCTGGAGATCCCCCGCAAATCGAGTTTCAAGCGCAATCCCCAGATGAGGCTGCTCTTGTCAGCACAGCAAGAGACTGTGGCTTTACTCTTCTTGGCCGATCAAACGATGATCTTATTGTCAACGTCCTCGGCGAGGAGAGGACATATACGGTTCTCAATACCTTGGAATTCAACTCAACGAGAAAACGAATGAGCGCAATCCTCCGCATGCCTGATGGTAGTATTCGGCTCTTCTGTAAGGGTGCGGATAGTATCATCTATTCGCGTCTGGCCCCAGGCAAGCAGCAGGAGCTTCGAAAGACAACTGCAGAGCACTTGGAAATATTTGCAAACGAAGGTTTGCGAACTTTGTGTATTGCATATCGAGATCTCAGTGAAGAGGAATACCGAGTGTGGAGCAAGGAACATGATTCGGCTGCTGCTGCGCTCACTGACCGCGACGAGAAGCTCGAGCAGGTAGCAAGCGAGATAGAGCAAAACCTCATGCTTATAGGCGGTACAGCGATTGAGGACAGATTGCAAGATGGGGTTCCGGACACCATTTCATTGCTAGCAGATGCAGGAATCAAGCTATGGGTTCTCACTGGCGACAAGGTCGAGACTGCGATCAACATTGGCTACTCATGCAACCTTCTCAGCAATGATATGGAGCTGATAGTGTTCAATGTTCCTGGAGATCAGCTAGAGCGCGCATCACAGGAACTGGACAACCAGCTGCAGCGGTTCGGACTGATTGGTTCAGATGCAGAACTCCTTGCCGCTCGTCACGATCATAGGCCGCCACCGCCAACACATGCTGTTGTTATTGACGGTGATACGCTCAAGTTGATGCTCGGCGATGAGCTGAAGCAGAGGTTTCTCCTACTATGCAAGCAATGTAAATCGGTTTTATGTTGTCGCGTCAGTCCTGCGCAGAAGGCGGCTGTCGTGCGGCTGGTCAAGAATGGTCTCAACATTATGGCTCTTTCGATTGGTGATGGCGCCAATGATGTCGCCATGATTCAGGAGGCTGATATTGGTGTCGGTATACTTGGTGAAGAAGGTGGCCAGGCGGCCATGTCCTCTGACTATGCCATCGGCCAGTTTCGATTCTTGCAGCGCCTTGTTCTGGTCCATGGGAGGTATTCCTACCGACGGATGGCAGAAACAACTGCAAACTTTTTCTATAAGGTACAGTATCCTGCACTAAGCCCCCATCTACAGCGAGCTGACCTACCCCTAGAATCTGGTTTGGACGATTGCTCTGTTTTGGTACTCATTCTTCAATAATTTCGACGGCTCGTACCTTTTCGACTACACATACATTGTTCTAGTCAATGTCGCCTTCACGTCATTGCCCGTTATCTTGATGGGCATATTTGACCAAGATGTTGACGACAAAGTCTCATTAGCCGTTCCCCAGTTGTACATGAGAGGCATTGAGCAGAAGGAATGGTCACAACTAAAGTTCTGGTATGGCGTGATCTGCTATTTAGTGAGACAATCACTAACGGAAATAGGCTTTATATGCTCGATGGCTTTTATCAGTCCATCATTTGCTTCTTCATGCCCTATCTTTTGTACAGCCCGTCAACTTTTGTGCACTCTAACGGCAAGGACGTCAGTGACCGGACGCGAATGGGTGTCCTCGTGGGCTCCAGTGCTGTTATTGCCAGCAACACCTACATCTTGATGAACTGCTACCGCTGGGATTGGTTAACGGTCTTAATTAATGTCGTCAGCTCCCTTCTTATCTTCCTTTGGACCGGCATCTACTCCTCATTGGAAGCATCAACAACCTTTTACAACGCAGGGGCCCAAGTGTACAGTGCCCTGTCATATTGGGTTGTGCTTTTGTTGACGGTTACGATATGCCTCCTGCCGCGCTTCACTGTTAAAGCGTTTCAAAAGGTTTTTTTCCCTCTCGACGTGGATATCATTCGTGAGCAGGTCTCTCAGGGTAAATTCAAGTTCCTGGACCAGTATGAAGGAACAGTTCCTCCGAGGGCGGCAGCGGCGGCAGCAGCAGGATCT